GCTGCTGCCCACGCTGCTGCTGCCGTACAGCATCCCCATCCGCTCCACCATCAAGGTCGGCGTCAACGGCTCCACCACCGACGGCAAGGTGCGCGCAGAGTACGGCTTGACAGCAAGGAGGGGCCAGCAGGGACTGGAGCTTCCAGCGCCAGCTGCGGCGGGCCTCACTCTGTTGGCTTTCTGACTTGGCCCAGTCTGCTGCGCCCAGGTTCTGGCCCAGCTGATGTTTTGCAGGCTTCGTGCCCTGCCCCCTCGTGTGACAACAGCAGACAATGCTTCCCCTGCTTCCTTTAAGCAAATCGCCACCTTCCGGGGTTGCTCACCGCACCTGCCACTTCTGCCCCCCTCCCTTTCCTCATTCCCTCTTCCCCCGCCCAGATCGACCTCATCTGGGGCCAGTGGCACAACCTGCCCTCCCTGCCCTCGCCCATCCGCAACATCAACGGCATGTTCATGGGCGCGCTGCCCCACATGATGGAGCCGGTCTGGGGCCGCACCATGGAGTTTGTGGGGGACGACTTCTACAAGAAGAAGATGACTGGCTGGGGGTGTGATGAGCTGATTGCCAGCAAGTGTGTGGCTGCTTGGGTGCTCGCGTGTGTGTGTCTGTGCATACGCGCGCGCATGTGCGTGCTTGCCTGATTGCTTACAAACAAGCTAGGTCCACATGCGGCCGCGTCGTGCAACTCCTGTCGCTCGCTGCTCATGCCCACTGCCCCCCCCCCCGGCTGACACGCTGCCATCATGACTCACACCCAGCGCGAGCGCCACCTGGCCGACGGCACGGCGGGCGCGGTGGACCAGGCGATTGATCTGGGCAGCACCGCGGTGACCAACGTGGGGGAGCTCGTCTCCAACGTGGCCAGCACACTCATGGACACCGCCCGCAAGGTCTGCTGCTGCCTGGACGGGCGCCAAGGATAGATACAAGGGGAGACAGGCGCTGCGTGGGGAGTGCTGTCACCGCACCAGGCCAGGAACCTACTCAGCCAGTTGCAGAAGGGAGCACGGCCGACAACTTTGGCCGTTCGCTTGTTTTCATTGCTTAAATCCCACTCCACCTCCAGTGAACCAGAACTAACCAACTCGCCCCCCCCCCCTGGCAGGCCGTGGACACCGGGAAGTACTACGCGGACACCACCACACAGGCCGCCCGCGAGACGGCGCGCTCCGCCGCCGACACCGCCACCGGCGCAGCGCGCTCCGCCTACGAGGTGCGTGGAGGTTGAAGACGTCGGCTGTTTCCTGTGAAACGCCGCAGGCCGGCCTATGCTGCACAAAGGCGCAGCATGCCGCGCTCGGCGGCGTGATAGTGCAGGTGAAGCATCTGGATATCTACCGAGGGAGTGCAGGCTCACACCTTCGCACTGGTTGCGCTGCATCGAACTCTGATTTTTGCTGGGGGCCAGCGAGCGTGCATTTCCTTCTGTGCCGCGGCTGAACCATTGCCCAGACACCTTATTCCACCTGTCTGGCTTCCTCCTGTCGCCCTGGCGGACCCACCACACATTATCCTCACTCCCGTCCCCGCAGTCCGTCCTGCCAGCTGATGTCAGCACCACCATGCGCAAGGTACCGCCCGCGCTTATAGTCCATGCTGCCATGTTGTTGCCCAATGAGTGCTTGCATCTCCTGCGCGCCAGACACACCAAGCCACGACCTGAAGCTTTTGGGCAGCTTTTTGGTCTCCTGAAGACCCCATCATCAAACAATCACACCCTGCCTTCAAAGCCCGGCCCAACCCCAAGACATGCCCCTGTCAGACGAGGTGCCAAAACCCAAATCGCCAACGCCCCTGGACATGCCCGTGACACCGAACAACTATCTTTCCCCCGCCACAGGACATGCCCATGACGGACAAGGCGCGCGAGGCGGCCGCACGCACAGCAGAGCGCGCCAGGGAGGCCGCCCGCGGTGCCACCGGCCCCATGGAGCCGTCGGGCACCCCGATCGTGGCGCGCTGAGGGGTAGCGTGCACCGTCGTGCCCGGAAGCGGCCCGGCGGGCGCAGCGCGCCACAAGGAGCAGCGGTCCGCAGCGAGGGGGCCAGGTGGATATCAGATGCGAGGGAGGTGGGGTGTTCAGGATCTGCCTTCGTCTAGAAGCCGGGGTGGGATGCTGTATATGCTGCAGGACGCTGGAGGCCGGTGCGTTGGTGGCTGGCTTTCTTCCTTGGGGTACGAGGCAATCCACCTGCAGCCTGACATGATTCCACAGCCGATATTGGCATGCCTTCGGCGCATACATCCCGATTGCGCTCTAACCAACGCGTGTTGACGGGGGAGGGCTGCGCATGGCGGTGGCAACGCTGACTCGGTTGCGCATGGACGTGCACGCATGCATGTGACGGCGTGCAAGGCGATGCTAATGCAAGAGGCTGCGACGGCTGCCGGATTCCTGGGAAGGCAACTTAAAAGCGGTGTTTACACTTGCATGCACCTGCCAAGTTGTGGCTTGAAAAAGTTGAGGTGAAAGGTGTGGCGGCGGCCTGGGCGTTCCTTTGTAAGGGGAGGTGTAAAATGCGAGGATGAGCTTAAACGGAAAAGCTTGATCAAAACCTTGAGTGGAGCCAGCACATGTATCAATCACCAGGTGATAGCAAACTTGAAATCCATCCCGAAGCGTCAGCCGCCCCACCTGCGCGGCTACTGTTTAGCGCCGCTCTCGTCAGGCGGCCGCCCTCAAAGCTTTTGAGCCCAGCACACCACCACCTCTGCACAAAAACCTGCCCTGACTGCTCAACTCCCGGCAGCCTCGCCGTACGCCTTACTGGCCCTGTCCTTGCCCACACCGTGGACGACTGATCCATGCCGGTTCATCTGCATGCTCGGTGCAGCAATCATCCCGTAGCTGCGCCACTCGCAGCTGCGCTGCCGGCAGCTGCACTAGGCCCTTTCTCGACGCCACTAGGCTGCTCCAGAGCAGTGAGCTTGGTGACTGCCGCAGGCCCTATGGACGCCTCTGCTGCTGCGACTGGGGCCCTGCCGCCATGGCCACCGCCGCTGCTGTTGCCGCCGCTGCCAATGCGCACGGACAGCGCTGCAGCCGGCTCCTGCCTCTCTGATTGGCTGCCCCCCGTCTGCCGCTGTCGGTTTGGCTGCGAGCCGCCAGAGGCACGCTGCTGCTGGAATGAGTCATGGTCACCACCTGTGCTGACGTTCTCCACTGGCATTGCTGCGGCAGCTGTGAATGTGTAAGCCTCCTCGCCTTCCGCCGCCTTTGCAGCCGCTGCTGTCTCTGTCCCAGTTTGGAGTGAAGTCACAGCTGGCACCAGCCCCGCCGCGCCATGCCCGCCGCCGGCGGCCGCACCCTCCACTGCGCTGCCCAAGCATGCTGCAATGCCGAGTGTCGCGGGTGGCGGCTTTGCCAAAGGTCGCGACGGCCGTGCTTCCGCCCTGTGTGCCGCGGCCTGATTGCAGGTCGTTGTGTCCTCTGAGTCCACCACCACCGGTGCTGACGCAACGGCGGTAGGTGCTGCACCTGAAGCCGCTGCTGCCAGCGCCTGTGCTGGCAATTTTGCTGACGCTGCCACCACCGCTGTCGGCACGCCCGTTGCTGCTGCTGCTGCTGCTCCTGCTGCTGCTGCCTCTGCCTCCGGTGACAGGTCCACTTCAAGCTCGTCGTAGTCATCCACAGGCGCAGCTGCCTGGCAGGCAGCTGCCGGAGCCGCCACTGCTTGGGTGCCTGCCTGAGCTGGGGCAGCAGGGGGGCCCAAGGGGAGCAGGGTGCCCTCGTCCTGTTCCAGCGGCACCGCCTCCTCCTCTGAGCCGTTGTGGACGTGGCCCCATGCTGATGCGGCGGCTGCGCTTGCCGAGCCGGCCCGCTGGGCTGCGCACGGCCCCGCTGGGCCTGCTGGCACCTCGCTGATCCCTGTTGGCGTTGCAGCCCCTTCATCCAAGCGCTGCGGCGGTGTGGCCGTTGCAGCTGCTGCAGGAACCTGAAGATGCTCGCCACCTTCAAGACCCCTCTGGCCACCCGCAGCCGCCGCCTCCCCATCGCTTCGCTCTTCCTCCTGTGTCAGGCCAGTGCTTTTCTGAGCCGGGTCGCAATTAGCCTCAGCGGCGCCTGCGGCAACCATCTCTGCCGCGTCTGAATCCGCCATGACGGCGTCTGCTGGGCTCGCATCCGCAGGGCCGGTCGCCAATCCCTCGGCGGCGCCGCTCGAGACGCCGCCGACAGCCGCCCCGTCACCTGCTGCTGAGCGCGGTGCAGCTGCCGCCGCGGCTGCAGCAGCGGCCCCTGCTGTGGCTACTTTGGCGGCCAGGGCCGCGTCACAGGTGACGGCCTCCATTTCAGAGTCCATCTCTGCGCCCTCCTCAGCCGCCATATCGATTGATCTCGCCGCGCTGCCCGCGCCGCCCCAACTGGCGTCACCGGCGCCCTCCGCCTCGCCTGGCGCGACCACGCCTTGAGCGCCGCCCGGCATCCCGTGCGCCTCTGACCCCCCGGCGACCGTGTTGGCCGCAGCCTTCTCGTTGCTGCACGGGCTCACAACGGGCGAAAGGCTGGCCACGATTTGCTCTTCATCCTCTGGTGAAAGGGGCGTCGGCTGGATCGTCTCCTCCTGAGGCCGCGCCTGCGACTGCGGTTGCTGTTGTGACTGCGGCTGCTGTTGCTGTTGCGACTGCGGCTGCTCTTGCGACCGCAGCTGCGACTGCGGCTGTCGTGGCGGCTGGGACTGCGGCGACGCTGCACCCCCGCCAGGCCCCTCACCCTGCGACGGGTTCCGCAAGTCGTCGCCGGCATCATCCGCCGGCTGCGTCGCCGCATGTTCCACTTCCAGCTGCTGCTCGCCTGCCTGGGGCCCACCCGCGTCCCCCTTAGCCCCCTGCTGCTGCCCGGCTAGCTCACGAGATGCTTGCTCGTCGCCGCCGGCCACCTCAGCCATCGGCTCGTCTGATGCCTTAGCTGCTGCCACTGCCCCATCCTGCGGCTCCGGGTTCTGCTCTCTTGCACAAATCTCCTGGCCTGACGGCAGACTGCAACCTTTCCGCTCCTCAAACGCTGTGCCCTGGCTTTGGTTGCTGCCCTGCAAGACAGGCAGCGCCGCCCTTTGCAGCGTCGCGCTCGGCGCTTCGCCAGCTGGCATCCCTGCCGTGCCCATCGGCGTCTCGGCCGGCGCGGCGGCGAGGAGCAGGAGCCGCTGCTTGCGGGCCCTCAGCTGCGGGGCTGCCGTCGCAGGTGCGGGACCAGCACCCGCAACCGGTTTCTCGCCTGCACCCTGCGTGGCCGGTGTCGCCATTGCCAACCGCTGCATCTTGATGCCACGGCCAGAGCGCGTGCTGCCGGCGGCCGCCTTGTTGCCGTTCTTACAGCCGTCACAGCCCCCGCCAGCAGCGGCGGCCGGAGCCGCGCCGGCCGCGCCACAGCTGCCGCCGCCGCTGCCATCCAAGAACGGCGCAAGGGCTGCCCAGCAGGCGCGGTACGCCGAGGCCGCCGCCTCGTCTCCGCGCTGCCGCGCCTCCAGGGACCAGTTCCAGGCGCACGCCACGAGCCACGACAGCTGCTGCCTTGGGAACGCCCCGTGCGCCGCCGCACACCCAGCATCTGGCCGTGCCGTGCCGCAGGCCTCAGGAGACGGCTGCGCCGCCGCCTCGCGCCCGTCAGCTTGCGCGTTGATGTGCAGGCCCTGCAAGACATCCCTCACCCGGTCAAAGACCCGGACCCGGACAGATTGACTGCCCGCCAGCCGCAGCAGCCGCTGCGCCGCGTCCGCCGCATCCGCGGCCGCGCCAGCCGCGCCGCCGCGCCGCTCCGCTGCGAGCCGCAGGGCGAAGCCCAGGGCAAGCATCGCGGCGGGCTCGCTGCGCCAGGGGCGCGGGTCGAGGCACGCGAGCGCGGCGAGCAGGGCGTCGCGCGCGCGCGCCGCGGGGTGCTGCGAGAGAGCGGCCAGGAGGCGCCGGTGCTTCGAGGTTGCGGATTCGTGGGTGGCTAGCAGCAGCTCGAGCTTCAGCGTGCCCAGATCGCCGCCGCAGGCAGGGGCGGGCACGGGCGCCGCGGCCCCGCCTGATCTGGCCCTGCTGCTCGGCGCTACGGCTGTTGCTGCTCCTGCGCTCCCCCAGGCGCCGTCGGCCGCCGCCGCGCCACCGCTGCCGCCGCCGCCGCCGCCACGGCAGCTGGCGCCCTCTACATGCCGCAGCTCGCGCACGACTGCTTTTGCTTGCCGCAGCAGCGCTGCGTCGGCTGGCGACTCATCATGGGCGCTGAGCAGCGCGGCTGCAGCCATTTGCAGTGCGTGCACGCGTGCCCTGCGTGATGCAGCAGCAAAGGACGCCGCTTCGCCCTCAACCTCTGCTGCGGAGGTGTCATCCTCATCGCCACCAGCGCTGTCGCCGCCCTCACCGCTGATGCTACGGCCGGGCCAGGCGAGCGCGATCGCGCTGCGGTGCAGGTCCGCTGCAGCCTGATGCAGCATCGCTGCGGCACGCCACGCCTGGGCGTGGCAGGCCGCCGCCCCGGCCTCCGACGCCATTCGCGCGCCCGCCGCGCCCTGCGCAAGGCGCACACGCCACTCGTCCATGGCTTGGGCTGCATCTGGCCGAGGGAGGGATGCTGCCACAGCCGCGGCGCACAGCCGCGCAGCCTGCCCTGCCTCCATGAGCATGTCGACATCTGTCGGGAAGCGCGATGCTGGCGACGCGGCCGCTGGTTGTCTGCGCTCCCGCCACATGTGCAGCAAGCGACCGAGCACGGCCAGCGCCGCCGCAGGGGGTGCTGTGGGTGGCGGCGGCATAGCCGCTGCGGCGCCAGCTGCAGGGGCGGCGCCGGCGGCCGTCGGGGGCGCGGCGGCGTTGGCGAGGGCGCGGCGCCACTCCACGAGAACGCGCCAGGCGGCGGGCGGGGCGCCGGCCGCGCAGCACTCGTCGTAGGCCAGCTGAGGGCGAGGCCGGGGCAGAGCGTCGGGTATGTGAGGGGTAAGCAGCGTGCTCATTGGTTGGGGCTGGGCGCGTGCCAGCCTTTCGCCC